TTACCAAGTAACTATCCAGTTGGTTCTGGTCTTTAATAATAGGCGCATGCAGAAGACGCTTGAAATGGCGTTGCAGGATAGGGCACGGTTGGCTACGTTACGGTACAAAAGAAGTTCAACATACATACAAATAACTTGGAGCTTTGGGGTCAAACATGACAAGAATGTAATCAGGAAGATGAGGTTGTGATTGGTGGAGCATCTGTGCAGGATGCAGGAGAGATTTACCAAACGTGTTAATGAGTGGCATGCAGAGGTCAGGAACTTAAGGGGATGGCCTAAAGACCTCTGACTGGGATGTTGTGAGCCCAGACCATTGAAGGATGAGTGTCCACTTTGCTAGGACTTTAGGATTTAGAATGAGAAAATAATTGATGCCAGGGTGGTGGTGACATTACTGGCATTGGCTGTGGTGGCCTGTTGACCTTCTGCTGGTGACACTGACATGCATAGCAGAGCATGTCCTCTGTGGAACTACAACAGACAGCTCGGCCTCACAATTTTGAGAAATAAACTTGGAAGAGGAAGCACAGATGTCAACAAATCTCCCTTTTTGCCAACCACTAGATGGTGTTCCTCTGATGTTCCAATGATTGAATGCTTCTTTTCGAATCAGTTAAATCTTGACTTAAAGCTTTCGTGACTGCAGGAATTCGTATTCTTTGGGTCTTTTGGTAAAGTCACGTAGATAGGTTCAAAGAAAATAACAAAAAAATACAAAAAACTACGTCGTTTCGATCGCAACACAAGCGGTCGTCAGCAGGAAGATAACGAACGCTCAGGAAGATGATGAACGCTTGTGTTGCGATCGAAACGTCGTAGTTTTTTTTGTTATTTTCTTTGAACCTATCTACGTGAGTTTACCGAAAGACCCAAATAATTCGAATCAGTTATTTGATATAAATGAATATTTGTTGTTACTAGTGAGCTATGCTAAGCTAAATTCAAACAAGATTTTAATAATTTCTTTAAAGTTTACATACTTTTCCATTGTGACCAAGTCCGAGCCCATTTCCTCCAGAGGGTAACATGTTGACTTCCCGCAAAATAGATACTGAGAGGTCATCCAGGAATCATGATGTGAATTTGCAGCCTTTAGATTGTGAGTCATGCCCACTAAATACTGTTTATGTGGTGCATTTGAGTATCAGGTGTAACCTTCGGTGAGAGCCTCGGAATTCAATCTGACTTACAGCTCTGACAGGTTTCGCAATAAGCCCTGTGAGTTACCTAGCAATCTTTGGAGTTGGGAAATATTTTTTGTGTGGTTGACTGCCGCCCACTTTATGAGCCGAATATTTTGGCTGACCCAAGATGGATTCGAGCATTAAATCAATCCCATGAGTCACCCAGCCACCTTTTAGGTTATGCTAATTAATTACACCCACGATACAGGTGTGTCCTGAAGCAGGGGTTAAAACGTAATGCTGTTAAGAGTAAAAAATGTCAGAAAAGTGTTTCTCAGCTAAAATATGTATAGGGCAGACAGTAGCAATCTACAATTACAGCTCTCAGCCGTTTGGTAGAAATTCCACATGGCTATGATGAAACCAGTCGTTTCATAGGACAACAGATGTTGACTTCTAAGAAAGTGGTGCCCAATTTATAGATAACCAGAAGGTCAGCGAGGCATCGTGAAGTGAATTTGCAGCATTCTGACTGTGTGCCATGCCCACTAAGCGCCGCATCTGCCTTAGGACCCCACAACACACTCTTACAGCTGAGGCACAGAGGTCGGTTGCTGCGTTTCCTGTTGCATACGCACATCGCCCGTTGCTGCTCTTAGCTAATCCTGTTGTGGCACCGACGCATACATTTCTTAATGAACGCTTGCAAAGTCGTTGAAAACAACCGCTTAATAAAACAGAACCTCTTAACTTGGGCACTTGCATTATTATCTGTCTTTAAGATGCAGCGCGACGCCAATATCACGCCACACTCTGCAGTGATCCACGCTCCATTAACATCTGGCTGCTGGATTCACAAAAAATGTTGCAGTAGGGAGTACAAAAAAATGCACAGCAGCGAGTTGGCTTTAAAAGGTGATAAACGTTATCATGTGGTCGTACGTCTGTCCACGGCATGCTGGGCTAATTTTAACAGCGTGGCAGCGGAGTAGAGAAGTCGTGCGTTATGGTTACCTTATTGTAATGCACGCCTTGTATAGCAATATGGTATTCGATCCTGCACGGCTGTCATTCATATCCAATTTATAAATGGAGTATTGCAAATAATGAACTGAAATTGTATACGGCGCGTGAACGTGGGGGCAGCTGGCTTTGATAATTGTCAGTGCGCTTGCTGTCCGGACACGTAGTGCGGGGTTTCTGGTTCACATCCCACCTCTGCCTCGGCAGTGCTACAGGACGTTAGCTGAGCACGCTGCAGTCTGCTGCAGGCTAGACTATAAATACCATGTGACTTGTGGTTCACAAGTGTAAGAAACAGTGTGCCTGCTTTTTGGCACAAATCCAAAATATTAAACTTCATCACAGACATCATCAGTCACAGTCGGCCAACTGCCGGATGAAGGCCTCCCCCATGCCGTCCTCATCTCTCACGATCCCGCGATGCGACGATTCACCTAAGACCTGCGCACGAGCTGATTTCATGAGTTCGTCTCCGTGGCGGCCGTACTCTTGGATGCATTCCCTTCTCTGGCTGTCACTTGATTTGCTCGATTCGAAAAAAAAAAACTCTCCAGTGTTGTGCGACTGGTCGTCCAGAACAAGACCGTACAACATATAATCATGTAATGCCCCGATCCACAGACACTACAACGATACACTACTCCGCTGCTCCTGATGCTGTTATCTGGCTTGACCACCTGAATGCGAAATTGTCGTTGTTGCTCTGCATCTACATCAGCCTATATTAAAGAAAGAAGACTCCATTGCTCGGCTCATGTCTTAACTACTGGCCCATCGTTTTTTTAGCAATGGGTTTTGTCCAATCCTACCTTTTTAATTGTCAATATGATGTCTCTAGCCAGAGAAACTTATCTCAAATTAATTTCAGGGGAAATAATACATTAGCAGGATAAGCATTGACATTCAAGTTAAGCTATCCAAGTCTCTTTGCAGTGGATTTAACGGTTTAAATTATGAAGGTGGTGAGTTTTTATTTTGGACTTTTATCACTTATCGAGTTGTATCGTGACACTTGCTTTAAATACACACACCTGTATGATCAGAGCATGAAAAACAATCTCCAGATTCTAAGCGGCACTCGTGCGTGTAACAAACCAAATGCAGGGAAATGCAGTTCCTGATAAGTAAGGGTTCTTCCTTTTAATATTTCACCATTGTGTGAGCACTTTCGAGGACCTGATAATTAAATATGTGGTCATTTTTTCACCCCAGTGCAAGAAACTATGCTCTGTTTGATTTATGGCTTATTAACTTATAAACCCTGGGTTATTGGACAGTGGTCTCCCGAAGTGTCAGTGATGTTTAGCGGCTTTTAGCAAATACATCAATCTTACTAAACCTTTACATTTTCTGCTGTTGACTAGACTAACTGCAAATGTATATGTGTGTGTACATGCGTGCATGTGGGGAGCGGTAGTGTTAGGGTTAGCACGCTGCGCTACGAAACCGGTGTCCCGAGTACCATTCCCGCTCATGACCAACAACAGTGATGATGATCTGAATCCGTCCTGGGCCTTCCCTAAGTAGACTCTGCCTCAAATGAGTACCTGATGCAGTATGCAAACATCACCCCTTGGAAAACAAAGATGGCATGGCATGGTGCTGGCCACCCACCCCGTCATGTGCCATGCCCTGCCTTCACATGTGCTCGCTAACAGCACTTGCCCCAAATATTTGTTAAGGCTATACAAAGGATCTTTGTGTTGTGCATTCACGTATGCAGTCGTGTCTCATGTGGAACTGATTGGAACATACTCTGAAACTGTTCTGGAACAGCTTGGGTGTTATATTTCCCCCTCCTGTGTATGACATCCGTATTTTTTTAAGGCCCTGTGAAATGATTGCATGACTATTTAAATAGCATGCAATGCACCACAGTCTATATAAATAAAAAATGTAATATCTAATGTTTAAACACTGTGGCGTTTTATTCCGTTGCAATTATTTGACATTGGTGGGCAGTCAAGACGTTTTGAGCATGACACTCAAATCGGTCACACTAACCTAACTAGCACTGTGGAGAATATCACGAATCCGTACAGTGACTAAATTGATATTAGCAGTTACGATATTGAACAATAATTTTCAAAAGTGTGGTTCTGTATTAACATTTTAATTATCCATCTTCTCTCAGTCTTAAGCAAAAGGAAACTCAACAAATATGTCTTGGCTGTGCTTGGTCGCATTAAATGCAGTATATTATTACTTTTCTGTTCAATTCGAAGGCGGCTGTCAAACGTGGCTCACAGCTCAAACGAGCATAGTTGTCCATAATAGAGGTTTTTTGGGGTTAGATTGCGTAAATATATAAATGTGTCGTTAAACCCGCCACCACCCGACACAGCCAACTTGTAAGGGTTGTCATGTAAACAGAACGTGGCCAATTCGTCACTAGTACAACACACCGGTGTGTTGGAGAGCCAATCCACAACATTTACAAATATAGTTGTGATGGTTATATTTTCAGGCAGCCTGAAGTTAGTGATTACATTCCTCATTCTCATACCAGGGTCAAGTCTATCCATAGCTCGACTACTCTTGGGTTACCACAAAGCGGTGCTCATTTCATGGATCCCAAAACCAGCAATCAGCCACCCATTGGGTTTTGAAATGTCACAGTTTTATAATTGTGAGTCTTGCGCTGTGTAACCATGGCGCAGTCCGGCCGGATTCTCACTCGCGTGGCCAAAACGACCAAATAAACGTCAACTTGTTTGCTCCTTCAGCATAAGCGATTTATTCAAAACAGGAACCCTCAAATTAGCAGCTCCGTGTACGTCAGTAAACTCAAATAGCGCGCAGGTGACGGAGGCAACGTTGCGTCCGCGCACGCAGCCGGGCGTCACTCACCCGCTGACGGCCGGCAGGTTCCGTGCCGTTGCTCGTTCATTCCCGGGCACCGTTGCTGGAGTCCGCGCGCAGCCTGCGTTTTTGTCGTCCCATTCAGCCGCTGCCTCTGGGATTCTCTCTCCTTCACGACCAGTGTCCTAGCCTGGATGAGTAACTCAGCACGGTGGGGGGGGGTGGGAGTTCGTTTGTGCCAGGGAGAGGGTGGGGGGGCTGGGGGGGCCGGGGGGGGGCGGCTGGCTTGGGGTTGTGGGGAGTGGACAATGGGAGCTTGAGCATGTCACAATGAGGGCGGCGCTCCAAGGCATAGCCACACCTCCACGACCCCCCCCCCCACCACCACATTTTATTATCGGTCTGCTTCGTACCTCACACGTGCGCACACGCACGAGCGTGTTCGCGTGGAGCGTCTGACGGTTGGGTCCTCGGGACTAATTGCTGCCGCACACGCAAGGCGTGCGTGGTGAGGCTCCATAACGGGCTGTGGGGTGTGGGGATGCTCGTGAACTTGGATTAGGGAGGTCGGGAGTTCAGCCAGAGCCCCGCTACATGTGTGCGCTGCACTTGTAAAGCTGGCTGATGTTTGGTGTTGGCAGCAGTTGTTAGGTCTTCATAGTTTAAAGCTTAATGTTGCTGTTGTTTTTACGGTCGCCGAGACGGGTTGAAATAATAGGGCTGTGATAAATGATATGGCTGGGAAGATTTGTATTTAGCTTGCGCGTGAGATTGAGCCAGTTTCCAGTCAGCGATTCCATAATGCATTATTAGAGCTGCCTGTTAACTGGATATTTAAGGCCCTGTGATGTACTTCGTAAGAGCGTGCATTTGCGTGTTATAGTCATATATTCCAAATGATTAAATAATGTGGATTTTAATTACTGTGTGTGTAGAATTGCAATTACAAACTTTGCATTTTTTAAAACGATTCACCAGTTAGATCTTTTTATTACACCAATTTAATGTCAAGGTTAAAGTATCTTCCTGCTTAACTAAGCCATTGGGCAACATTCAACTCTGTTGGTGACACAGTCTGTGGTGAAAATTCAACGTTACCCCGGCATATTCATCTTTCCCGTTCATTCATCCCTGCTGACTTTTCGAACCCAGAAAGATCATGAGCTCAATCGACTCTAGATAAGGATTTGGGCTGGCAACACCCATCGAATGATCAGTTCAACAACAGCCACGACCTGGCCAAATGGAGAGAGGATCTTTAATAAACAAATAATAAAGCCGTACAATAATTGCTGCTCGAGCGTTGTGAGACTGTTGCATAACAAACGCGTTGCTTGCTGAAAAGTGACTCGGGCAAGGGAGCGATGAGTGGGCTCACTGACAGCTGGGTGGGTGGGGGGGTGCAGTGCATTACTCAAATTGGACAATTTTTTTTATTTACATTTAGCTTAACAGCCTGGGCAAGCGGCTGGCGCCTCGATCCATGTCTTTGAAAAAGTGGGCAGGCAAAACGGCTGAGATGCACGGTTTTGTACAGGGCACCTTGAAGACGCACGCAACGAATGCCCCCATCAAGGTCTCTCGTGTGCTTGACACATGTGTGCTTGATTTGGCCAAAGCCAAATGATTTGGCCAAAGCCAAATAAATATTTGCCAGCAGCGACAAGCGTGTTACAAAGTTCTACGCATTTTCACATTTAAATGTGTCAACTGGGAAAGTGTGATTATCCTTTGATGGTCCTCAGTCAGTGGTTGAAATTCCACATTTCTATGGCAGGGGCCAGTATAAGTAGACCATTTTATTGACCCTGTAGGGATGAATTACTCAAACCCCAACTGGAATTCGAACTTGCACCCTTTTGATTATGGGGCTAGAGCTCCAAACACAGCATCACCTTTTAGGAATGTGTTTACCTGGTGTACGAAATTAGTTCATAATTTTATTTGGCTTGAAGTCCCCTTCCAGCCCCAAACAAAATGCCAACGACTTTCGTTGCTGTGAAAAGTGTTGTGAGTTCTCATAGACACAATTCTAACGGAACGCGTTCATGCTTACGCTGATATTCAAAGACAGAGCAGCTTCGGTGTTGATATAATTTGATCGTGCTCTCATCTGGTGCAAGGGAAGGAATCCATTTATTTGAAAACATTAATATTAACAACAAAGAATACATAGAAATACAACGAAAATACAAAGCATCTCCATGTCCAATATCGATGAGCGGACCTATAAGAAGAACATAGCTGCGGTCAAGGCAGCAATGAAAAACGGAGAAAAACAGAAATAAATACGCAAGGTTTAAATAGTAGTTGCATCGTGAGTACAATGTGTCATCGCATTTAATATATCGTGAGGTTAAATCAAGGTTACTTGATTACATTGTGCATTCATTGGGCACATTTATATGAAATCAGAATTAATAAAATAGATTCTTCAGCTCAGCTGGTAGTAGACCAAGGCATGGCTGTTTAGTATTGATTATAATTGTTGTGCCCTTATATAGGAATAACCAGAGGAATGTATGTATTTTTTTTTACAATCTCCCAGTGCAGTGCAAACTGCCTGATTCATTAGCAAGCCCCAGTGTCAGCCAGTGACTGAACCCGCGCCCCCACGTTGCAGCCTTCCAACCCAATCTCCCCGGGCCGTTCAGATTTCTGGCGGAGAATTTACTCTCCTGCACAACAAGGGGAGCCTGTGGATTCAATCACTAAAAACACAGTCTTATGTCAAATTATTTGCATTTCATCGATTGGAAATGATGGGTGTGGCGGTTCGTTTGGAGATGCAATCAATCCACAGATTGGTGACCCCTAATTTTGGTGGCCTTTCATTATTACACTTGAATCTGCAGCTGTCTATTATTAACCTCTGTTCAACTGTGCGAATTGGGGAACAAGTGGTAGCCAGTTTGATCTGTACGTGTGTGTGTGTACATGTGTTGGGTCTGTACTTGTGTGCATGTGCGTGTGTTGGGTCTGTACGTTTGCACTGTTGTGGTTGGCGCGTTGCGCTACGAACCCAGTTTCCCTGGTTCGATTCCTGCTCACAGCCAATACCGGTGACGAATATCTGAACTGGTCGTGGGCCTCCCCGATGTCAACTCAAATGAGTAGCTGGTGCGATGTGTGTAAACAACGCCACTAGGGAGACCAAGGTGGCCGGCCGTGATGCTGACAACCCATCCACCCACTCGTGTACCTTTCCGGCCTTCATAGGTGCTCACTAACAGCACTTGCCCCGAAAGTCTATGAAGTCTATTAAGGCTATAATGGGGATCTTTGACTTTTGTATGTCCAGAGCTGTATAATATCTAAACGATTGATAATGAAGGTGAGATAAGTAAATGTCTATGTATTTTAGCGTGAAGATACTTATGTATTTTATGTTTCCGTTATTTAAAACCTCATAACCCCTCCATATAGATTAACGTGTACCAAGGGCTACTTTTCTGAGCCACTGGTGCTATGGTCAGCGCACACTAGACTTGCAATTCAGCGGTCACGAGTTCGATCTCCCAACACAACAGTTGAAACAATGGACACGTTTCTTAAAGCCTACCGCCTCTGTCCACCCTGCACCAGAGTTAGTCTGAGCAGGTAGCGTGTGCATACTCTTCACATCTTACAAGACATCTGGCCAGCGGTGAAGAGTTGGCCAAAAACATCTGAAGAGGCTCTGTAAGAGCTCCCTATAGTGGAGGGCCTTCTGCCAGCAAGTGGCCTGAGCAACATATTGCTGGGCTCTACTTTAACATGTTTGCACAATGTTGGCATGTTAGAAAGTACTTGGGTTTAATATTTAATCCTGTGGCAATTGGTATCTCTACATGGCATAACCCTCAAATATGTTCACTGAGACTGAAATGAGTACCTGCTATGGTGTGATACTGGTAGGAACCATCTGGTTCCACCAGCCCACAGGGGATGATTGTGTCCGTCCGTCGTGCATACAAAAATGGGAGGGGTGGGGCTGAGTGGAGAGGGGAGGGTGTGGAGGGGCTGGGTGGGGAGGGTGGGGAGAGGCTGGGTGGGGAGGGGAGGGTGGGGAGGGGCTGGGTGGGGAGGGGAGGGTGGGGAGGGGCTGGGTGGGGAGGGGCTGGTCTCCCCGTGGTGCCCTTATAAAACTCAACGTTTAACCTACTCACGCCGGCTTGTGCCCGCCCTCACAGTCAGCCATATTTGCGGAATACACCACGCCGCCGTTGACCCTGGCCATTGACCGAGCAACCCAACGTTCCTACCAGCTCCCTCCGCAGGAATGTGTTTAAGATCAGGCATGAAGAGGCAAAGGTGGACAGTCTCGTGCGATGTTGGCTCCACCACATCGCTTCGTGTGCGGTGCCAGTCACAATAAACACTCGCGGACATCATTTGGCCCATCACTTGTTCCTAGTCCAAGAGGGGTGAGTTGTCTTTGTTTATCCTGAATGTACATTAATTGAACAAATACACATTAACGCGATATATAAAATTCAACAAAAGCCATGAACAATGTACAAGGTACTGAGGAGCAGGTTGTAATGTTGGCATAGTATTATGAGTGTGATCAAATGTGGCATGTTATTCATAAAGTGTAATTTTGACATAGTGCCTCTAAAACATGTTAGCAAGAATATTGAATTATGGGTGTTATCTGAACAATTGAGTTCATAATTCAGATAAAATCGTAACTGTTTAGGATCCCTGTAGATGTTATGTGCGTACGTGTGCATGTATGTACGTACATGTATGCATGCATGCGTGCGTGCGTTCTGACAATCCTGCACAAACTATTTAATATCTGTTGTTTCATGCCAGGTGAGATTGTCATTTAGATTTTCATTGGAGCAAAAGTGCTTGTGCTCTGCGTGGCGCAGTGAGTTTTGTGGTTTTTAAATTGTGAGTGTGTGTATGCAGACCTGATAAGGTCTTGAGCTCAGCTGAGGGCATGGCATCATGGCTCACTTGTTACGTTTGTAAAAATAAATTAAATGCATATATGGTGGGGCCGGAAAAATGTTTTAGGTTTCAGCCGCTCAAAGTCAGAGTGGGCTAAAGTTAGGCTTGGTTTTTTTTCTCCCAATTCATGAACAACTGATAACAAGAGTTTAATTCGAAACAAAATGCAATCTTAGAACGGAAAGTTTTCCAACTTACAAGTTGTACGAGAAAGAGCAAAATGCAATGTTAGGACATTATGTTTT